GTACGAATTCGTACGAGTGAGGTCGTATAAATTCGTACGAATTAGCCACCTTTTAATCACTGGTACGAATTCATACGAATTGGTCGTGAGATAGCGTTGGTAACTCAGATCAATCAGACATACATGCATATGAAAAAACCAGTGCTAATTGAAATAAATCGAGTTGATAAAGAGATTGAATCCAATTTTTGGTAATAATATAGCATTTCATTTCATTTATAAGCAATTTTTTTGGAGGCTGGTCATTTTTGGCATTGCACACCACAAGTGTAAAAAGGTAATGAAAAAATCCCCAAAGAATTATCAGAATTTTGGGGGGCAGTCATATACCCTGTGTAAACAAAGACATTCAGTTTTAGTCTAATGCAATAACATTAACATTTTCAGGAAAAAGAAAATCTCCAGGGCCAAGATGTCCAGAACACCACATGAGGGTTGATGGCACATTTCGGCACATTGGACAAGTGGTCTATTAATAAAATAAAGACAGAAAATATTGCCACGTCAAACAGATAAAATTGTCTACAGTGACTGTTACAATTGCAGATGATATCAGATCTTTTTCAACCTTTAATGCATTATTAAGATGTAATGAAACTTCAACTTCAAAAGAGAAAAAAAACCACCTAAAATGACCTGATTTTATAAGTGTGCACAACCTTTTATAATGGAAGATGTTGAGAAATTAACCAACCAGATTCAAACTCTTACTGAAAAGTAATTGAAATCCTCCAGTTATCATTTAAGTGATGCTAATTATCCATGATTTAAAATCAGCCGTTTCTATGGGATTTTCTTAGCCATGGCCTGCAATGAGCTTACAAAGGATGTGTTAGGATCTCGTTGTGAAGAGGTAGCATTCAGGAGAAGGGTGCAAAATATTTACAAACCATTCCTCCTGGGACCCAAGAATAGACTTTTGTCCACTATAGTGGACATTATATTTTAGTGAATTTCTCTGACATCATACATGTCACATGACACAACCTGGGTGTCCTGTAAAGAGCACATTCAGGACTTTTCAGAGATACCAAATGTTTGGAGGTTTCACCATGAAAACAACTTCTCCTTGGTCTTTAAAAATGTCTGACATTAATTTAGTGATCAAATGTAGCATTCTTATGGAAATATGATAATATAGTGTAATTATAATATAAATTGGACTACTTTTCAAATTGTATTTCATAAAACAACATCTCAGGAAAATGTTAAGGGGTTTAAAAAAACAACAACAACTTTCTGTTACAGAACAGGGCATTGATTTCAAACGTGTCCACTGTAGAGGACATCAGGACTAAAATCATGTTTATCAGGCATTCTGGGAGACACAACAAGTGAATATGGAAATAAATTATACATCAATATTCCTATGAAATGTTAGATATTATTATTAAAATGTTGCCAATTATTACTCCAATTATTACCCTTTATTCTTTCATTAAATGTTGCTCCCAGAACACATTCATGTGCAAATTAGATACAGTGTATAGATACATTGCATTGAATGGGAATATTAACTTATAGCCATTTTACCCACATATTGCAAAAAGTAAAATGGTGTATCAATTCATTCCATTATTTCTTTCATAACATAGTTGAGAATAATCTTTATACAAATTTTGGTTGAAAAAAATCCTGAAACCCCAAAATGTATTGGTGATTGAAAAAAAAATCCCATTGGTTTTGCCTATACATATAATTTCATGTCATTTTATTTTTTAAACAACTTAGTCCTGGCGTCCACTACAGAGGACATAGCATAACGTATGAATAAAATATTATTTTATATACATGTTTTTTTACCATTTGTTTATTGTGCTCTAAACAGTGTGATGACATGGAAAAAAACTAAATTAAAAAAACTTTTTTTTTCTGGGTCTCAGGAGGATATGTGCCGTGGAATACCATGAAGGAAGTCATCACCAGTGGAGACAATACCCAGACAGCAACATAGTGTCAGCCCAGATCCGGCCCACATCTGGTGCATGTCGAATCCACATGTACCAGATGTGTTGCTGTCTGGGTAGGGTAACAATGACATTCAAAAGAATATGTATGTAAAAACAAGATGAACATCTATCAAGGAGGCTTCCAAGAGACTTACAGTAACATTAAAAGAGCTGCATGAACGTCTGGAAAGTATTGGTCACTTGATGCATGTGAAAACAACATTCTGTATGTCTGGGATAAGGATGGCTAGACCGAAGCTTAAAAAAAATCTAAAAAAGCCCACCTAAATTTAGACAAAATTTTGGAACAAAACATGTAGGCCTCCATTAAAAACCTGAGGATGAAGAAGTCAATAAAAGGATGGTTTCAAAAAGGGAAGAAGGATTCTGAAGCTAGACCTAAATCCAATTAAAAAACTTGATGAATGTTTTGTGAGGGCTGTAGGCAGACAGGAGATGCGGGGGCAATATGATCAATCTGGAGCTCTTTTGCAAGGAAGAGTGGTAAACATTGACAAATCAAGGCCCCGGTTATACGTGCATGGTTATTTTGAAAATCTGAGAAATGCCCTTCGTTTACACGCAAACGGAGAATTCGCCTCTGGAAACGATTCTTTCTAAAAACTCTGGCCAGATAGGAGATTTTGGAAAACTTTGTTTGCACGTTTGCATGTAAACTGAGAAAAACAGTTTTAGTCTAAAAGAGTTTTAGGCAGCCGACGTCACAGTATGGGGATTCTGATTGGCTACCGTGGGCTTGAGCTTCTGGTTACACTGACACCTACAGGTTTGGCATGCTCTTGACGGCATATACACATGGGTACGTGTAAACAAACACTTTTCTGAAAACTGACAGGCGTGCACAATGTTATTTTTGAAAACGGAGAGGGTGAAATAGCCGGCCACGTGTAAACGTAGCCCAAGATGTGCTAAGTTGATAGACATTTTCCAAAAAACTGGCTGCTGAATTAAAAGCAAAAGGTGTTTCAACCAAGTTAAGTTAAAGGGTGCGCACACTTCTGCAACCAGGTTATCGTGTCTTTCATTTTAAAAATATTTTCTTAAAAATGTATATTTGTTTGTTACATTTTGTTGGTTTAATACCACATTAAAGGAGGAAAAAGTTCTGACATGATTTTACGTTTTTTTTTTTTTTTACATCTCAATAGCCTGCAATTGTAACAGGGGTGTGCGCATTGTGTATATCCAGTAACAGGTAATTTAAATCTGCTTTTAAAAGTGCTTTGTCATATAGTATTTTCTGGTTACAATGGATCAACTGGAATCAACTGGTTCTGTGGGAATCCTCTTGGGTAGTCCCAGGCCTGAAAATGAATCATACATATAATTAAATACTAATTTTATTACCACAATAAATACGATGTTTTCCTCGCACTACAGTGTCTGTAAGTGATACTTGCCTTTCCTCCTGCGATGAAGGTACATCACACCGGCAGCTGCAGCGAACATCAGCAGAACAGCAACACATATTCCTGCTAAAACAACTAAAGACAGACCTGAATCTGGAATAAATGAGAGATGGTCATTAGTGTGAATGAATCTGTCAGACTAACAACACTATGAGATATCAGAAGGTCTGAGAGAGTCAATCTCATTCATTTTAAAGTGGAAAACTATTTCATACCGTGATGTCAGAAGTACCATCCTAGCAAACACATTTTTGTTCTATGAATGTTTTCCAAACGCTAAGTTTTGTTCATGGAAACATTACAATGTAGTTTCAACCAGTTTTCCTGAAACTTTAGTTGAACGTTTAAGGTTACTATGATGTTCCTGAAATGTTCTTTCAACTTGATTGTTATTAACAACTCAACATTCTAGAATGTTAATTTGTAACATTCCAAGAACATAAAAGTCCAGTTTCCTTAATATTAATAGAACGCCATTTAAAGGTTAGTATGATGTTCCTGAAACACTTTTAAACATTCAAACAACTCCTGTTAACAAGCAGAATCACTGAAGGAAAGAGAAACACAAGAACTACAACTGACTTCAGACAGCCAGATACAAATCAACTGAAAATAAAAGACATCAAATCTCTGAAGATCTCAGCAGAGGAGGATTAAACAACTCCATAAACAGCATTACCAGCTTTACTTAATATTACTAACCAGATTTACTTTATTGCTGCCATACATCTACAGAGGCTCTTATTGAGAATCAGAGGCTTAGATGTTGATGATTTATTGAAAATATTTCATTTGAAGTCAACATTATCCCAACTATAGGACACACTGATGTTTCAACACTGATTCAAATGTTTGTACCTGCTTCAGTGTTATTTTAACTCTCTGTAGACACATATGGACACTGATTGGTGTTAATGAATCACAGAGGATCCTGCTGTGTAACATTCAACTTTAAGCCAATATTTAAGCCAGAAAGTTGGTTATTTTGTCCTACTTAAAGGACATTCGAGGAATGATGTTCACAGTGTGTTTTCTGTTTTCTGTGTTTTCATTATGAGAACATTCAGCAAATACTACTGGCAATATGTGGTGATTTCATGAACATTGTTTTGAAAGTGTTTAATTCTAACACTTGCTTAACCTTTACATAAATTTAAGAGAAGAATAACTATGGGACAGGCTACAAAACTTTCCCACGTTCCAAGGATGATCTTTTAAAACCACCACACAACCTTATTCATTTAAAGTTATTTTCATTCTAATGTTTAAAGGATATTCTAAATGTTGTTCTAAGAAAGTTTTCTCCCAACATGAGGACATTTCAAAAACCTTAACGTTTTTGTGCAAACCTTTTGAGAACATTAATGAGGATCAGACAACGTTGAACATACATTCTATTAATTTCACTGAAAAAAGGTTTGTTCATAACTTTGAGAGAACATTGCCAGAACATTATCCAAAGTTATGAGAATGTTCCTTACCTTGGGTTGCTGCAGTTCCAAGTCATCAAGATAGTAATCTTTTTTTTTAAATGTAACAGTATCATGTTTCTTTATATTCCACAGTGAGGGTGTTTTCAATGTCAGATGGACAATTGCATGAATGACTAAAGTACACTTACCAGTGACAATAACGTCGAAGCTCTTTACACTGCTGATGCTGCGGCGATTACGACGGCTGCTTCTGCTGATCTGTAGTTTATATTCTCCAGAGTCTTCAGGTCTGGTGTGTGTGATGGTCAGAGATCCAGTGTGATGATCCAGCTTCAGTCTGTCTCTGAATCTCTCTTCACACTGAACATCTGTACAGATCTTAGTCTGATCTCCAGTGATTTGAGCGATGAAAGTGTCCTTAAAATACCATGTCATCAAAGCATTTGGCTTGTTTCTTACACCAGGATCTAAAGTGACAGATTCTCCCTGCTTCACAGATTTTGTCTTCATTTTATCTTGTTCAGCAGCAGAAACACCTGAAACACAAACCAACAGATGATTGAAAGATTTTTTTGAGGAAAGAAACACCACAGCAAGAAAAAAAACGTGAAAATAATTGTGCAAACTGCACGTTCTTTTTTGACCTTCAGTCTGTAAAGCAACATTTATTTGTTGGGGTCGCTGTTAGATGCCGCTGTAAAATACAAATTCACTTGTTTTGCTCTAGAACGGTACAGGCTATAAATAAATGCATGTATATGCATTGGAATCATTCAGATCCTACACATGACCAGAGAAATTTCAGCAAAAGACTTTTCTACCAAATTTGATGAGATATTTTTTCGAACCTGTCCCAGGCAATTTTGTCCAATATACACAAAATTTGGCATATATCACCTAGGTGTCATTAACCATATGTTCTTGTGTTTGTTTTGGGGTGCATGGGTTTTGCATGTGTTTTGAATCAGTTTCATGTGGTTGTGTTTGTTTCCATGGTTTTTCTTTTGATTGATTATGTTGGACACCTGTTCGTTTCGTTGATTAGTTTGTTTGGATATTTATTTCGGTCCATATCCTGTTCTCACACATGCTGGTTGTTCCGTTCATGGTTTACGAGTCTGAGGCCCTGTCCACACGAACACAGAATTTTTCATGGTTTGGCCGTTCGTCCGCAGTATCCGGTCACTGAAACCGAACTTTTTTGAAAACTCCTGCCAGGGTGAAAATTTTTAGGAACTCTGGTTGCAGTGTTGTCGTGTAGGCGGTGAAACCAGAGATTTTAGCTTGTGACGTTGACGTGCTCGTTGTTATCTCCTTTGTTTGAAGTCAGATTGTGCGCCGCTGTCTCCTTTGTTTAAATGAGGCGAGTCTGTGCATTGGCAGACATAGTCAAAATGTTGCTGCTAATAACTGTGCTAACAGGGCTTATAACATGTATACAGATACATTCACAGTTCTCCCATTATATTGTGGAACAGAGGCGTCAGATTGCAGGTCAATGCTTATGACAACATGGCCAACCAGAACCGGTTATAACCTGTTTTTCAGGCTTCTGATTGGCCAACATGGCTTTACGGTTAGGGTTATATTGACACCTGTTGGTTCGGCATGCTCTTGACAGCGCTTCGTAGTGTGTTGCAGAGATTTTTTTTTAAACCGTGCTTGTGTGGACGCATTTTATTTTTAAACAAAGGAGAAAAAACGTACGGCCTGAGTATCCTGAGTATTTTGGCTTGAGTTTAATAAAATCAGCTGCCTGCAATTACATTCAGCGCTTTTCATTACCTGCTTCAACAGAAGAAAAGACTGACTAAATGGATATAGCGGCAATAAAGATCCTCCTCTCTCACTCTCTAAGAGCACACGTGGAGGTTTTTGGAGCTTCAACATCTCATTCGATGATGACTATGATCTCTATGATGACGCCAGCCTCTGCCTGTTTTCCCGGGCAGGTTTGAATCTGCAAAAACCAAAGCACGCCTGCCTGGAGATGGATGGCCCTCGACAGATGTTCATGGAGATTGTGGACTGGGTCCTTTTTCGCTGCAGATCCCCCTTTACCATCGGTAAGATGGAGGAGGATCGCAAAACCACGGTCCACGCTGTGAGCATCGCCACTTTAGCCAAGCCCTCGGCAGAATTAAAGCCTACCGCAGACATAGAGCCTGAGCTGAGTTAATGTTGTCTGTGATGTCCCCGCCATGTCTCCCAGTCCAACTTCCTCTGCCTGTCCCGTGTCTGCCAAGAAGGCCATTCCTGAAGTGTCTGTCTGTCCCGTGTCAGCCAAGGGAGGCTTTCTGCCCACCCTGAACTGGCAAAGGAGGCCGTTTTGTAACCCTCTGCCCATGCTACCCAGTTCTTCAGACCTGTCTTCGCCTCAGCCTGTCGACCAGTTGGCTCCACCTCGGCTTCTCACTCCCTCAGCTCCACCTGAGACGGCCGTCCCTAAAGCTCCTTCCTCATTCCTCTGGCTCGGCCTTGGTCAGCCATTGCTTGTCATTCGCCATGGACTTCCAGGCCTTCATCTGCGACTCATCCCTCCCCCCCTCTGGCTCCGTGAGGCTCCAACTTCCCTCCAGCGTCACTTTGGTCTCCACAGCAGACTGGCTTCACCCTTTTCTCTCTGGCCCCACTCCTGCTTCAACCGTGAGTGGGTCTTGCCTTTGGCTTTTGGCTTGCTTAGTTGGGGACATTTAATATTCAACAATATTATTGATCTGCCTGCATTGACACCATTATATGAAAACTGAACTGAGCTGGACGATAACATCACTGTTTTCTCAAGAGCAGCTATATATATATATATATATATATATATATATATATATATATATATATATATATATATATATATATAAATAAATGTACTAAATTAATAACTTTCTTACAACAAAAATGAAATGAACTTACTTAAGCTGGGCTATGACACTATTTTCAACATTGTTGCATTCTTTTCCTGTTATCACTGTAAATCTGCTTTGAAACAATCGGTATTGTAAAAAGCGCTATATAAATAAAGGTGGCACTAGGGACTGTTCAGTTAAAGTGTTTTTCAGAACTTTTTTTTTTTTTGGCCCACAATGACTAATTTATTTAGCCTGATGTCGTCATACTCAGATTTAGTCAGAATGTGAGTCTGATACTGCTCCATTGGGCTGTGATTATGGGGCTTTGCAACCGAATCAGGAAAGAAAATGCCTTTGCACTCAATTGGATACACCGAATCCCATAGGAAGGACGGCAAAAACATCTTTCCGATCGACAAATGCCTTAATAGCAGTTCTCTGTTCCTCTTTTAAAATGAATGCGCTGTCTACATCTTCTATAACAGACCAGATGGCTGAATATACACATCGCTCTTTGGTGACGTGGATGATTACGCTACTGTTGATCATCTGTCCATCATCATATAAAGCCCGCCCTGGCAATTTGATTGGTCCGAACAGCTTTGGTTTGGGCATAGTTGCTTCACAACAGATCTATTTCCAAAGGTAAGTGGTGCTATAATCATTAAATTTTTCCATTAAGTTCTTTGGATTCCTGGTGAACTAGGAACAATAAGTATAAAATAATGGATGCATTTAATAAGACGATAAGAGAAGGGGATCAGAGAGGGTATGATGAGAAACTGACATCTCCAGAACAAAATTGGAGCCCTTTATGCCTTTATTTATATAGTACGGGGCGGGAAAGGACCACGCTCAGAGTGATGGCCACAAAGATATTGACTATGACCTCCAAACTATAAAAATGTTCAGCTTGACAATGAAAAGAAAATTCAGATTTAAATCATACTGTTCTAAAAAAGCAGCTCCAATTGTCACTGTTTCAAAAAAAATTTTAAATGTGATTTAAACGCATATAATCTGCATTTAAACATTTGTTACATGACTCACCAGTAACAGAAACATTGAAGATCTTTTCACTGATGCTGCTGATGCTGAAGATCAGTAGTTGATACACTCCAGAGTCTGTGTTTCTGATGTTCGTGATGGTCAGAGATCCAGTCTGATGATCCAGCTTCAGTCTGTCTCTGAATCTCCCATTACCTTCATTACACTGAACATCTGTACACATCTTACTGAGATCTCCACTGATTTGAGCGATGCGGTTGTCATTATAATACCATCTAATTCTGTCTTGTTGGGTTTTCACAACACCCGTGTTTAGAGTAATTGAATCTCCCTCCGTCACTGACACTGGCACTCCAGCTGTATCAGCACCAGACACACCTGAAGAAGAAATTAATTTGTGATAATGCGGAAAAATATACAACAGCAAAAAATTGGCTGTAAATTTACATAAAACAGAACACATATCATAAATACTGTGGGTAAAAAAAAAAGAGCTTGGATTAAAAATGTAACACATGACACATGCAAACAAACATAACGGATTTACATATTCACTCCTCAGACAAACATACAGGAGTCCCATCGATAATTTTAAACAACTTAATGAACATCATAAAACCCACACCCTGATTCATATTTTACCTCCCTTATACATTTGGGCATTCATATATCTGAGAAATTCACCATTAGATTTCACAAAAACTCATCGCAGCACTTTCCTAAACATCTGCATTTCACTTTGTGCATCATGGTCAGCAATGCAACATTGATGCTGCGCTAATTGGATCTAATATTTAATGCTTTTTTAAATGCTATTTAGGATTATGTAGCAAATGAGAATCAATTAAATAACTAAGGGCAGATCTACAAAATTATTTATGACAAGGGGTGGAAACATGAAAGCAAATGTGGACCTTACACATTTGTCTCTATGAATTTGAGAAACAGTTGCAGTAATCATCTTTAATGTTTAAAATAATTCAAATTAATTACAAAATATTAACAGGGCTCCAAGATATATTTAAATACATCAACAGATTCTAAATGTCTTTGAGCTTGTAAGAGTAGGTCTATTACCAAAAACAGAAGACTGCTGTATGTGGACATTTTGGAAGGTCACCCAGAACACCCTAGCAACCGCCTAGCAACCACCCAAACTACCCTAGCAACGGCATTGCAACACCCTAGCAAACGCCACCGGTATCTGTATATGACCTTCAAATTTCAAACCATTTTATATTTAAACTAGGCACCTTTTCAAACCAATAAGTCACAATAGTCAATTCGACAAAAGTCAAAATAATCAAGGAGAATGGTTGTGGAAAATATTACAATAGACTTGTATCTGTATGGGATTTTCTCCTGCCCTCACTACCCCCCACATTTATAAGATTTTTAAAACAAAACAAAACAAAACACTTTTATGATATATTTTCTCAAAATGTGTTGCTCAATCAATGTTCAGTAAAAATAAAATAAAAATTATGTGCCCTACATATCAGAAAATGTATTTATGGGTAATTTTAACCACATGAAGACTCAAATAGGCTAATGTGTTGTTTTAATCATAATATTGTTTTTATTTTCTTCTTTGTAATTTGAATGTCCCATTTGCTATAATATCAATATCAACAAAAATATCTGCAAGATGGATGAGATGTTTTCATACCAAGTCATTTGACCTAAGCATACAGGACCCCATTTTCAATGTTTTTACCATAATAAGTAGGCTCATTGTCATTGTCATTCACGATCTGAAATTGCTCTTTTTATGTGCCATGCAGCAACCTAAAAAATGTGTCACAAACCCATTTCACTTAAATTTACCCTCGAATTAAAACAACAATAATTAAGAAATAATTAATCTCTTTCGAATATAAAGAGATTAGAGCTGAGTCAGCTGACACAAAATCAAATTACGTCACATGTCACATTCGTCGTTCAAATCAAAAGAGAGTGATTAATAAATTATTTATTATTATACACACAAGCACACGCACACACACACACACACACACACACACACACACACACACACACACAAAACACACATGAGCAATAAAAATAAGCTAATAAAATACATTTCCCACGAATGTAAAGCAATTAGAGCTTACACTAAATGAAACTGCGTCGTGTTCTTTGTTCGTTTTATCGACCGTAACAGATTGTAACAAAACGTCTTACCTTCGTCAAAAAATAACAAAAGTTCTGACAGCAAAATAACGAGAAGCTTCATTTTCACCATGTTTTGTCCGTGAATTAAACGCAGATTCAGTGGGGAAGAAAAGGTCTGGCTCTTCCGCATTAATGGCGATTAGTTAAAATGAAAGTAAAACTCTGGTCAGATCTGCGCGGTGAAAACACATTTCACACACTGTCAACACAATAAAGACAAATGTCAGTGAAAAATAAATTAAATATGACATATGTCACTAAAATGTATAAGCCAAAAAAACATAAATAAGCAAAAGTGTTGGCTTTATTGTAGCTATAGGCTACTGGAAAATGAAATAATTTGTACCCTTTTTTAAATTTTATTTTTAATTTGGATGGGGCAATGCATATTGATGAACGTACAATATAAATTGACATAAATACGCCAGATTTAGCGCAATGCTAATTTCCATCCGTAGTCCAGACATTAAAAAAAAAACTTAGTATCAAACAGACGCATAGAGCAAAAAAAAAAAAAGAGTTAAAGTGACTATGCTTGGGTAAAATACTTTGTTATAATAATTGTTTAAAATGCGTATTTTAAAGTGCATGTGCATCCTAAAGTGCTTGTTATGAATGTACCCATTTTAAAGTGCATATTTTAAAGTGCCTATGCATAGTTCTTACCTAATGTTCACAGTTTTGATTGTTATTCAGCCATCTTTTAAGGGGCTACCTCTAATTACTGTTGGCAGTGTTCCAACTTGTGCTGTGCAGCCTTTAATAGAGAGGAGGTTTTGTGCAAAAGTATACTTTCTGAAGTGTACTTCATCCCCCCGAGAAGCTGACCTAGTACTAGTCTTCTAGTTTCTATTTTTGATAAAATCCACCAGGGTGGTGGGGCCATTACATTCATTGATCTATATATATAATATATATATATATATATATATATATATATATATATATAAGACAGCTACTTTTAAATACTTTGAGATTTTCAAAACTTAGCAGTTCTCTAAAATTGAACAAAGGTGAAATGACTGTGGTTACCTATCAAATACCTTAACTGCTTTTTTGTAGAGTTGTTCAATGGGTTTTAGTGCAGTGACACACATTGTATGAACAAATCATACAATGGAGGCAGGATTTCGCAGCCTCTGTTGTAATAAAGGGCATAATTTGTTTGTAATTTTGTAAATTAAATTGTATAGTGTTGTTTACCTTTTTTGTGTTTTTTGAAAGAGATGTTCGAGTCTAGTATAACCCCAGGGTACTTGAACTGAGTTACCAACTCCAATTCCTCTCCTGCCAAAAACACAGAAGATCTGCTTCTTGTTAATGGTTGTTTGGTGGGCGTCTTAGTCAATTTTTATAGTATTTGTCTTCACAGGTGTTTTGTAAACATCATAATGACAGTCTTTTTGGTGTAGAGAATGAGACAAGTTTGACTTAACCAGTTTTGAACTTTGGTCAGTGCATTTGTGAGATTCGTAGCTATTGTCTTAGCATCTTTACCATGTGTGAAGATCACAGCATCATCCACAAACATCTGTACATTAAGCTCAAACATCTGGAAGATCGTTAATGTACATTGAGAATAATAAAGGCCCAAGAATTGAGCCCTGGGGAACTCCAACATAATTGCCAAGGCAGGGGGATTTGACACCATCTATAGTGACACATTGTGTTATATTATTAAGTATGACTGAAACCATGATATAGCATCTGTAGAGAAGTTAAAGTGTGTAAGTTTGGTCAGAAGTACTTGATGGTTGATTGTGTCAAACGCCTTCTTAAGATCTAAAAATATGGCTCCGACACATTCTTATCCAGTAAGCACTTGATCTTTTCAATAAAGAAGCAGTTTGTTGTTTCTGTGGAGTGGTTAGGCCGGAAACCGAACTGCATACGATGCAGTGGGGTAAAACCTTAATCCAGATGTTTAACCAGTTGGTTTGATCCACTTTTCAGCAACTTTAGACACTATTGGCAGGATGCTGATTGGCCGGTAGTTGGCAACCTGTGTTTTTGACCCAGATTTAAAGACGGGTATAACTGTGACCTCTATCCAAAATGATGGAACTTCTTTTTGACTGATTGACTGATTAACCATAAGAGTGATGAGTTGGACCAATGCATCAGTATGGGTTTTTAAGAAGAGAGTCTATACCATGGACATTCTTTGTTTTGGAGTTTTTGAGAGCAGGGATACTTTTTATTACCTCTGCCTCTGATATATTATGTATCTGAAAGATGGGCTGATCTTCATTTATAGGGCGAGGTAGAAAAGTAGACGGAGCGAGAGGCCTTGTTATTTCAGATATACTGTCTATAAAATAGTCATTAACGTGATGAGCGTAAACGTAATGAGGTCGTAAAGATTGTGCAGGTTCAATGACCTGTGAGATGTTAAGCTATCAATCTGTGTATGTTTTCAATAATGCATTATGCGAATCCTGTTTGACTTCTGACCTGTGACACCTCTTTTTCAAACATAAGTTTGGCTTCAGTGTTTTATTTAATTGTTCATCAGTTCTATCTCGAGAGAGAGGAAGTCAGACTGTGAGGTTAATAACTAGTAGGACAGGAAGAAGCTCTCCACCTACAAGTTACACGCACAATGTTCAAAACTTCAAATCACATTTCTGAAGAAATCAAACCACAGCAGGTTTCAGTTTGACTGATGAATAGCTATAGCTATATATAGTGTCACGTAAAACTGATATTGTGAGGTTTTCAACTTTTTTGTTTAGCCAAACACAACAATTGAGAATCGAGTTTTTATAACTATTATAAGTTCTGTTGTGATTATATTCAGGGAGATTCACTCAATATTGTTCTACATGTTTATCACAGCCAGGCCATTTCAAAAACTATCAGTGTTAAATGAACATGAATGAATTAGAAATGTATGTTTTCTGCCATTATTAAGTTAAAGTCTTCAAACAATTATAGCCGTAATAAGGGCCAGAAGAAACCTTATATAACCATATTTTAAATATCATATAACTGTACGCATCATGTGCTCAGAGAGTGTGTGTGTGAACTATAGGAGGGGCGAAGTCTGTCAGGGGACGATTCAGATTCATCAGATTAACAGTTCAAGTGTTTTTGCTACGTAGTTCAGACACAGACAAAGAAAATGTTTCACGTGTTTGTTGTGTTCTGTTTGTGCTGTTGGCGTCTATAAATGCATTTTACGGCTTCATTTTTTCTGTTTAAGAGCAATAAGCTTCTGATGCTGTTCAAATTACACTGTTTTCATGAGAAATTAATGTGAGATCTAGGTTGGATTCAGGTCTCAGTTCGTGATCTCTGTTTGGGTAGAATTTTGAAAATTCGTGGAAATGTGTAGAAATTGTAATAATTTTCCATGACTATTAACATTTCACATTAAAAATCACAGAAAAGTAATGGAGATTTCTCAACTAAAACTATTGGAGGCTTTGCAATCCTCGGTTGCAATGTGAGGGTTTTTGTGTGGGTTTTAAAGGACTGTTGCACATGACATGAAAATGGAAATCCTCGACAGCCATAAAGATTAAGTTATTGGTTCACATATATCTGTTTGTTCTTTTAAATCATCTTTCATTTCCGTATGTATGTTTGTCTGTTGCTGTTCTACAACTTACATTTAAAGGGTACAAATTACAGCTAATTTCAGGATTTATTAACAACATGAACCTTAATCTGTGAAACATATGATTTTAGTTTGTTCTCCAGGTGTGTTTGGTGAGTCAGTGTCAGTGATGGCGGGAGATTCTGTTACTCTAAACACTGATGTTACTGGAATACCTGAAGATGAAGAGATAGTGTGGAAATATGGAGCTGAAAACTCTCTGATAGCTAAAATCAGCATTGATACCCGAGTCTTCTCCACATATGATGATGTTCCTGATGGGAGATTCAGAGACAGACTGAAGCTGGACGATCAAACTGGATCTCTGACCATCACACACACCACAACTGAACATGCTGGAGTTTATGAAGTAAAGATGAGTGGAGCAAAACTGAGATCAAAAACATTCAATGTTTCTGTCTATGGTGAGTAGAGATCATTTGTCCTTTACATATTCTTATTTTATTTTTTACATACTGTAAAGTTTACACATTTTGTAGTTTGAGATGACAGACATTATAAACACTCACTCAACACTATGAACTAAACATAAGATTGTTGATTAGATTGACCTATTTCTGTTTATTCTCTCATGTTTTCCAGCTCGTCTGCATGTTCCTGTCATCATCAGAGACTGTTCTTCTTCTTCTTCTTCTTCTTCATCATCATCATCATCATGTTCACTGGTGTGTTCATCAGTGTTGAATGTGAGTGATGCGACTCTCTCCTGGTACGCAGGAATGAGTGTATTGTCCAGCATCAGTGTGTGTGATCTCAGCATCAGTCTCTCTCTACCTCTGGAGGTGGAATATCAGGATAAAAACACCTACAGCTGTGTGCTGAACAATCCCATCAGCAACCAGACCACACATCTGGACATCAACACACTCTGCCACACATGTGCAGGTACAGCAGCACTGATGATATATGTGTGTGTTTACTGACCTGATCTCTGTCTTCTGGTGTATATCACACTGATGCGTTCACTTCTTTCTGTATCATTACAGTGGACACACACTCTTCTTCACTCTCTCCAGTGTCTCTGATAGTGTTGGTCTCTGCTGGATCTCTGATGATTATTGTTATAGTCGTGATCTTCTGCATCTGCAGGAAATGTAGAAAAACTGATCAAGAAGGTAAGTGTAACCTATAATTTTAAACAAGTATTATAACAAATAATACTTTAAATGTACAGTCTAAATATTGTAAACAAGCTCTAATTATCATTCTATCACAGTTATTCTCATCAATTTTGCCCTCTAGTTCCTTTTTATGGAACGAAACCAAATTAATATAGTGTTATAAATGTATTGTAATATAGTGTATACTAATATTATTACATTTGGCAATTATTACACTAATATCAAAATACATGTCCATGTCTGCATGACATGCAGACATTATTCAATCTACATGAAAACAAAATTGCAAATCTGCATTAATTCAATAATAAATCAGCTTCACTGCACTAAGATTTAGCAAAGATAGTTGTGTTGTTCTAACGGATCTATTATTATTGTTATGCAGAAGAGATCACTTACGCTGAGCCAACATTCTACAAAAGAAAAGCACATAAATCGGTAAGATCATTTATTCCTAAAGTATGTTGTGTGTCTGTGTATCGACTCAGTGGTGAGTCAGATTTAGATGTGTGTGCTGGTCAGCATGGCTTGACATTAACATTTTTTGTTCACCAGCCATTTTGTCAAAGTTAGCCACTCAGCATTTTCACTGGCCACAATTTTGACATCGATAACATGGGTGAAAACTGACATATAGATATTTGGCAGCAGGTTTATTAGGCTACTGTCACTTTAAGACCTGACACACAGATCCATTACATTGTTACACATTTGTTTTGTTTTTTTCTTACAATTTCGAGTTTATATCTTGAAATTCTGCAAAAAAGTCTCATTTGCAAGATATAAAATCGCATTTGCGAGAAAAAGAGTCAGAATTCTATGATAAAATGTCACATTTGCATTTTTTTTTTATTCCTTAGTGAACAAAAACAAACAAACTAGACGAAAAGTCCAAAAATGTGAGATACTGTATACACAAAAAAAGGGAGATAAAAAGTTACAAAGTTGACAGAAACAAGCTTCAATAGATAATCTTGCATATAAATCAATCTTCAGTAAGATGTTGTTATTTTATTTAAAATGTTTTATTATTATATTTTGTGTTGTTGTTGTTTTTTATACAGAAAATAAAAGCGGAAGATCATGTGGAAGAGGATGATGTGGTGTATGTTGCTGTCGCCATGAGTAGATGATCAAAAACCTTTTTTCTGAATACCAGATCAGCTTTCTCTACGAACCTTTAGTCTCTGCAGAGGTTTAGGATTCAGGATCACCACGTGTAGCAAGAGCATTTAGCACAAATTCCAGTGGTGTAAAGTATTTGAGTAAATGTAATTAGTTACTGTCCTCAAGTGTCTTTTTGGTTACTTTGTAGTTTTACCAAAGATATTAGCAACTTTTACTTTCTACTTGAGTACATCTTTGAAGTATATACTCTTTACTCCAATACATTTGTAATAATGCAATTACACATTACACTTTGCATGGCACCTAACTTTTTCTGCAGCAGTTTATTGCTGCTATAAAGAAGTGATATGGCCATCTGTAGGGCATTGGAGGTACTATAACGTGTGTTTTGCGTTTACTCACCCAAACTTGTCAACAAGACTGCTTTACACTCGCGGGTAGTTGCTGAATCACAGGTGTTTCATATATGAGAAGAGGCCGAAACCCAACACATCCAGTGTAAGTAAGCTGTGACTATTTCATTTTACTTAACATTATTTAATTTTTCTGTTATATCAAAGATACTTTTTTGAAGGATATTGGTTTACTTATGCCCTTTTTGAGCCCTTAATCTTAACCGAGACTTGAGTGTTTGCAGATGTTTAAAGGGGTCATATAATGCCATTTTTGTACAAGCTAATATGATTCTTTAGGGTCTAAATTAAAAGTTTGTAATATACTTTAATTAAAAATTCTCATTTGTATTGTAAGAAAACACTTATTTTACTTGGTCAAAAACAGCTCTGTTTTCAGCACGCCGTTTCAGTGCATATGACTTTAAATGATCATGAGCTTTGCTCACCCCGCCTCTCTGTTTTGTGTACACCGTTTGTAACACAATAACCATAACGCGTTGTTCATTATAGACGTGGGATTATGAATTATTGAGAACGTCATACATAGAAAACATGCCGTAATGTACCCTGAGTGTAAACCTTAGACGCATTCATTGTGAAGTGTGCAGCTAGCGATTTGCAAAGATTAATATATTAATATAAAGTTTAATAAAACATTACACTCACTTCCGTTCTTCTGGAGGTTCAGCAGGAACACGAATATCTGGTACCGATCTTTTTTCATGAGCAGCTTCTTAGCAAATCCAGCTTTATACTGACCCTCGTTTATAAAGCAGTCTGGTGTGTGAAATGATTCGGCAAACATGAGAGCATTGACGTTGCTCGTGGGGAATATTCCCTTCGAAAACAAACTCAGCCACTGCGTCTTCAGCGGTTCGGATTTAGGAACATTAAAATGACTGCTGTGTTCGTTATTACACCCAAGAACAGAACACCACAATCGCTTAGACGCCATTCTGCTCAGCTCCAGCAGATCAACAATGACCGCGCCGGTCCGCCCCGCGCAGACTATGATTGACAGCTCCCTCATGAGTGAGGGCGGGTCTGTGTTGAAAAGCTCCTGTCAATCAACATTCGTGGGAGGGGCGTGCGAGCTTGTGACGTCACAGGCTCGAACGGCTCGATTTGAGGCAGGGGAAAACATATAAGGAGATTAAAACAAAACCACTGGATGGATTTTTATCATTATATGATGGTTGTGTACAGACACTGCCAACACACATTTCAGTACAATCAACTTGTAAAAGTGCATGTACCATTATATGACCCCTTTAAGAGGCTGTTGTGTCGACCTTGATTTATTGCAATATTGAGATGTTCAGTTTTTGTTTTTTTATTTTAGAAAATAAATGTGATCGCTCTCCTCACAAATCAACTGTTTCTTGTCTTTCACTGGCATGTCTCTTAGGTGTTGTAGATCATATTTGAGCCTACGGTCAGTATGAGTAAATAAGTAGGCTACTGTTAAAATCAAGACTTTTACTGAAGTGTAACTTGTAATGGAGTCATTTTTCTTTAAGGTATCTGTACTTTTACTCAAGTATGGTTTTCAGGTACTCTTTACACTTCTGACAAATTCTGAAAGAAAGAAATGTCATAAAATCCCAGCAGAGAAACAGACGGATGACTCTGAGGGGTTTGAAGTGCGTTGAGAGATGGACGAATAAAAACGCTCTCCTAAAGACTTTGATTTGTATTTAATTCTAGCAAATTATCAAAATCTAGTGGCACATTGCAGCATTTTCATGTTTGACTTTTAAAGCCTCAAAACTATTTTGTTTTTTATTAGAAAAGGTCTATACTGAACAACAAACAACAAACACTTAGCATTCTCATAATCAAAAAATATAAAAAAGCAGGACTATGTCAAATTAATGGGACTATGTAAAACTGCATTAGTTTAGAGATTGTTTGATGGACAAATATCTTTTGCATGAGTGTGTGTCTGGAGGTTTGTGGTTATTCATGCTCATATATCTTGATGTGTAAGTAGTATGCGGTTGAAGAGTTTTCCATTCCTGCCCACACGATGTTAACAGTTTAACAGTTTAACATCTTTATTACAAAAACACTGAACCCATTCATTCTGATGTTTGACAACAAAGGATTGCCTCAAGTCAAACTGTAGAATATGGAAATATCATACTGTTATGAGTCATTTTTTCATTTATTCCATTGTGTCTTGTGTATATTGTCTCTGTGTATGTGCATGTTTGTGTTACATGTGGGCGGTGTTTTGAGATATTTGTTGCTGATCCAGATATAAGGCCGCTGAAACACTCCACTCACCTTGTGATTGATTGTAGACTGTTTTGCTATTACTTTGTGTCGTTGTTTGTCTAGCCTAGAATAGAGTATCGTACCAGAGAGATTGTGAGTGTGAGTGAGATTTTGGACCTGTGATTATTCTTGTTAACCCTTTAACTGTCACCCCCCTTTTTTGAGAATGGGCGTTAAAATGCAATATTCAAACTTAAATAGTTGTAATTCAAGAATGCTTTGGAATATAGACCTAAGTTTGGTCTTGTTTTAAAGAAGTATTGCTGAAGTGAAAGCACTTAAAAAATTAAAGTTATGTAAGTTTAAACTGTGTATTTTTCTTTTTTATAAAATATGTATTATACAAAACAAATACTATAAAATTACTATAAAATCAAAGCCATGTATCTAATCAAGTGTTCCACATTTGAAGTTGATATCTCAAGTTCCCATGAGATTTTGTTAAGGAGTAGTAGGCCTACCAAAAAAGAAAAAAGCCAC